AGTTGAAAAGGCTTTGTTCATATACTATCAGAGCAATGGATCACCCTTTAGAAAAATCATCCCTAACCTTTAAAAAGATGTTTTTGATCCATGCTGAGATTTAAACAGCCCTCACAGCTTTCTACCTTGTATTGCTGGGTGTTATGTTTCAAACTGTGAGGTTGCCTCTATAGTGTTTCAGTCTACAACAAACTCCAGCTAATCTTCAGGTGTTTCCAAGGTCATGGTCCATATCAAGAGTGATGTGTGAATCAACTATTTTTTCACACCCCATAACTTCCAAATCAATCTTGCCTTTTCGCCCCTATCAACTTGATATGTTGATTCTTCTCCAAGCCCAAGGGAGAAGTGGTAGGACAGAAATAGGTTTTCACTTATGTTCTGCTTCTTCCAAATGAGTTGAATTCAGAGGAAACGGGGAAACAAGGAAGGAGAAAAGAAGGAAAGAAAAAACAGTCCTGACTGCTACAAAATGGCTATAAGGGATATAAAAGAGAAGGGAAGTTATAGCTTCTCGTTCTTTCTTTTTCTTTGAGAAAAATAATTCCCCTTTGCATCACTAATGCAATAGGAGAAAGTATATATGCTCACGCATGGCAGATCCCAATTCTGATCTCAAAGTGGGTCAGGAGTTGAGTGTGTGGGTGGAGGTGTGATAAGTTAGCATCAACTGCTTGGATTGTTTTACATATAATGAAAGCAAAAATTTTTTTTCTTGACTTTCAATTAAGACTTTTCCTTCTCGTTATTTACAAAAGCACAAAAGTAAAAGCCAAATTAAACATACATATGTTATCAGTAACAATCAGTGCCAAACTCTGGTTCATAGTCATATATCATATGGAATAAAGTCTTTGAGAATCAAACAAGAGTAGATAGAAGGGACTTATGCAATGGTTCATTTGTCTGTTTCATGGTTTGCTACAATGAAAGTCATTCTGTTAACCACTCTGGGGACTGACTTTCTTCAAAACCTCAACAGAAACTCTAAAATCTGCTACTTTCAGCACTTTGTGTAGCTCTCCAGTTTAAATACTGAAAATATTGTTAGTTTATGAAAAATGATCATGCCAGGCTTAGAACTGGATGCAAATTATTTTTCTGAATTTTAGGAGTGGGGGCAATATATTCCTGAATAAATGTATGTTGATATCTACAGAGAAACCTGTGCCTTTTAAAGCATCTGGTGTTAGGACATTATGTACAGGCCCAAACTTTAAATTTACCTAAGGAAAAGTACCTTGTAAACTGTAAGAAAAACAAACAATCTTCTAGAAA